TATGCGGAATCCTTCGACGATGACGCCCAGGTGGTCACCGAGGAGGTAATCACAGACGACTGGGTGCAGCACCAAGGCGCCGAACGGTGAGTTTCCTCAGGCGTCTCTTCAGAAGTTTTCCTGATGTTCTTACCCATTTTTCAGTGTGGAGATCGCTGCCGAGCAGATAGCTGGGATAAGTAGCTCACAGGAGCTGTTGGACATGGAGCAGGATGAGTACACTGCGCTAAGGCCCTATCCTTGCGACTTTTGCAGCCGGCGCTTTCGCAAGAAGGTCACCTTAAATACCCATATGTTGGCCCACCAAAATGATCGACCGCATCTCTGCAAGCTGTGTGGCGCGCGATTCTCACGACGAGCTGAGCTTATCAGCCACTTCAAGGCACACGCAGAGGCCCAGGATGCGGCCGATGCCGAGGCAGCAGCCGCCGCAACCGATTCATCTTCTGCCATTAAGTTCGAGCATCAGACGCAGCGACAAATGGACGATCACTACTACGAGCAGGATTGGCCACTTTTCCAACAGCAACAGGAGCAGGAACAGGCGCAACAGGAAATCCATCAACAGCATCAGATTGTGGAGGAGGGCGAGGTACAACTGGTGGCCAGTTACCCAGCCACGGTGGATCCACCAGCAGCTCCGTCACGAGGCAGAATAAGTCGCTTGAAGCCCAAGGAAGAGAGCAGCCAGTTCATTGAGATTTCCAAGTCAGCGGGTGATTCGAGGTCATACATGGAGCCTGAGCCGGCTCAGCCTGTGGTTACCACGTCGCAGCCTATTGCCATCGACCCGCCTCCTCAACCAAACTTTCCGGTGCTGGACGACAGCAAACCCTTTGTGTGCCAGCAATGCGGATTGGCCTTTGCGCGGGAAAAGGCGTTCGTTTCACACACCAAGGTAATTATCAACGCAAAAACCAATTATCCAAAAACCAGCTTAACCAGTTTGTTGACAAAATCATCCACTAATTATTCCTTCTTCTCTCCGCCAGAATCACCGCGTGGACTCGCTTTTCGAATGCAACCAGTGTCAGGAGATGTTCTGGGACAATAACAGCTTGCAGGAGCACCAGAAGACTCATCAGTTCGAGGAGAGCAACTCGGAGTACGATCCTGCCTCGGCAGAGGATAGCGGCAGCGAATCGGAGCCCGACGAGCAGTTGTATGGCGAATTTTATTGCAACGAATGCGGGATCTCCTTTCATCGCCAGGACCTACTTCGACGTCATGCCAAACTGCACTATAAGCCAACGGAGCAGGCGGCTGGTGGAAGCAATTCCGATGTCACTGCTGGCGGGGATGAGGAGCATGCCAAAGATTCTACTGGACACTGTTGCAACACTTGCGGAAAGTCCTTTCCTAGCGCTTTGGAGATGCTCGCCCATGCAGAAATCCATGCTAGGTTCCCGCCTTTCAAGTAAGTTCGGTCAAATATTGTTACGAAAAGAAAACTACATTTTAAAGGCTAATTTAAAAAAACTAGGTGCGTCCTATGCGGAATTAGCTTTTACGAGGAGCAAGCGATTAAGCGCCACCTGCACACCCGCCATCCCAGTGAACTGAAGGCCAATTCATGCGTCCTGTGCGGCAAAGAGTGCCGCGATCGCAAGGCTCTGATAAAGCACGCCTGGGACCATTCGCGCGAGAAGTGCCATTCGTGCTCCAAGTGCGGCAAGAACTTCCACAACAAGGCGCGTCTAAAGCGGCACATGGCTTCGCATCGCGACAAGTCGGTAGTATGCGAGGTGTGCCAGGAGGAATTCCCCGACGGACGAACGCTCTCCAACCACCGACACTCGCACAGCACTACCTCGCCTGGCAAACTGTTCCCGTGCCACGAATGCGGCAAGACGTTTGGTTCGCGCAGCTCCCAGCAGATCCACGTACGGATCCACACTGGCGAGCGGCCATATGGCTGCCGCTACTGCTGGAAGGCTTTCGCGGATGGTGGTACACTGCGGAAGCACGAGAGGATCCACACCGGAGAAAAGCCCTATGCCTGCTCTGTCTGCCCACGCGCCTTTAACCAACGGGTAGTGCTGCGGGAACACATTCGCTCTCATCATTCTGGGCTGGATGTAACGCGGAACACCTACCACTGCACAGTCTGTTCCGAAGACCTGTTGACTTCCAATGACCTCATCCAGCACCTGATCCAACATAGCGACTCAAACACAGCTAAGCAGCGACAGCCTGTTGTAAGTAAAATACTTTGTTTCGAGAGATTATGCTAAATACTGTTCTAAATGAAATGTATTACTTATTTTTAGACGGGACCGCGCAAGTACAAGCGTCGTCGTAAGCTACAGCCGCACGAGATAGCTCACATGCGGGCGGAGAACAGGGATGCCAACGGTGAAGAGGAAGAGGCCGTAGGAGAAGGCGATGCAGAGGAGTATGCCAGTGACATCGATCTTTGCGACTTTGATGTCGAGAACGTGGACGACATCTTTGACATGGCAGAATCTCCTAAGAAGGAAAAGCGGAAGAGGGGCTCGGCAGCCACAAAAGCTGATCCAAAACCCGTGAACAATGGGAAAGCGGTGAAACCTCCTCAGGAAAGGGGCAATGCTAAGCCAAGATATGACTCCACCAGCAGTCAGCAATCGGATCGCATTTGGGAGGAAAAGTTCCTTCACGACAGTCAAGTGGCTCTCTTTCAGATCGATTCGCTGGTAGTGGTAAATGACACTCATCTGCAGCCCGCTAGCTCTGCTGTGTCTTCGAACATACCCAATACAAGAGGCGGATCGAAGCAGCAGGGAAAAGTGCAGGCGAAGTCTGTAGAAGGAGCCGGAAATTTCAATAGCTCAGCTACCACATCTGTCTCTTCAGTCTCCGCCACCACCTCCACATCCAGCAGTCGGAGCCGGAGGAGGGCGGCAACCACTAAGACAGCCAGCAAAGCACCTCCTGCCAGTAATTCGCGACCCCGAATGATTCACACAGAGAAAGCCAAGGTGTCAAGAGGAGCTGGCGGAGACTCCTCTAGCAGTTCGGCAAAGAAAACGCGCTCCAAGACCTATATTAGTCGCACGGAGTCGAATAATCTAAGCCTCGACAAAACCCGCAGCAGTGCCTCAAACATGGTGGATGACTATGAAATCATTTCCCCAGCTACCCATCCGCCAAATCAGATCAGCTCCAGTCCGTTACACATCAAACAGGAGCAGGAGCAACAACAGCGTGTCCAACTTATGTACGATGATAATTTACTGATAGATGCTGCTATGCTCAGGGAGAAGACCTATGAGAAGTTTAACCCGAGCATTGTTAATGATCTGGAGGAGATACTGCGCTCTCCGCTGAAGCACGAGAGAAATTCTCGTCTTCGCTTTACCAGCGAGTCCTCCACCACGCCACAATATCTGCCCGAAGAAGAGCAAAACCTCATTAAAATTGAGCCAACTTCTCCGGATCTGCGGGAAATGTTGGAGAGCCAGCAAAGAGTCACAGCCCATAGCACCAGCACTCCTTCGTCCTCTTCATCTGCTAGAACTTCCAGACATCTGCGTCAAATCACTGCCAATGGTGCACGGGCAGGGAGCAAGAGATCTCCAGGTGGCGTAGCCAGCAAATCGTCGGCAAACTCGGGAGTGGTGGCCAAAAAAGCAAACACTGCCACCAAAGTGAGCAGCAGCTCATCCTCGTACCTCTCTTACGGGGTGGATTCCTACAATGTAAACGTACCTGCCAGTGCCAACAACGCCGATGTGGGCGGCGGATTCTTTTCCATCTCGGAGGTTGTTTCTGCAGCCGACGCCGCGGATGCGGCTGCTAAAGCGGCGGCAGCTGGTAAATCGGAGCGGAAAACCCGCAGCTTCGAGTGCGAAATGTGCTCGGCCATCTTTTATGATCGTGCCCAACTGCTGGAACATGTGCACATTCACATTTAAATGGAAGCTACCTAAACCACTCGCCCGGAGCCTTGTATTTTTGAAACATCTTATCCTTATAAACAAATAATCGGAGTAAATTACCTCAAGGTATCGTGCATCGAAAAATATCGTTGATTTATGCGTTATTTAAAAATTGAACATAAACCTATTGTAGAGAGCATAGTTCGTAAGACTTTTAAGTTTGTACCACAGCTTTTGTTTTGAAAATTTGGTATGCTGGAATAAATACATCATTAAATGGTTTTTCATTACCTTAAATTTCGCTATCATGCATAGATTGAATCTGAGCTCGGATGACTGATAAGAGGCGCTCATATAACATTTTCTATTGTCTGAGATCTCTCCTGGAAATCGTACATTTGTAATTAAATGACAGCTTTCTCCAAAAGAGGCGTATGTACTACTGTTTAACAATTTTATTTGTAAATTTTAATTGATAAGTCTTATGTACTTGCACTTAGGTAATTATGGGTCTTGAGCCATATCGACCGACATACTACATATGTATACTTATACTTACATAAGAACGTGTATAGATTCTTACATACTTATAGAAACCCTGATAATAGTTGATTTCCCCCCAAACCAGATGTCTGAGTTTGATTTGAAGCCATGATTATAAGAATGTTTTCATATGGGTACTTCTGTGGCTTGTTCTCGACTTATTTGCACAGCTTTTCAATAAAAGCCGTAACTGCTCACTAAGTAACATACAGTTAAAAACGAATTTCATCCACAGAAAAGTGGATTTCTCCATCTGGCAAATCAATTAATTACCGCCAATGACCCGATATGGAATATTTGTAAATGATTCTATTTGCTTGTACTCTGGCGTCAATATATGAGTTTGTCATGGAAATAGATGCTAATTTAAGAGGGGCGGACTTGGAATATTAACTATAAATATTCTGATAAGGGCTGCGAAAAGAGGTTGACTTGTAGATACCGCAGCTTATAATCTAAGAATATTCGGAATCCTAAAACAATGTTTTCACTTATTTTGCACCCCCAAATAGGGTTTAGATTATGATAGTTCTGATTTCGGTTCTGATTCAGTCAAATATTCATAGAGAGCCTTTTGTACTCTTACAAAGCAGTGACAGGTATAAAATGGGCCACATCGCCGGGTGTTCATCAGTTCTCTCCGAATCGTCGAGTGAGCAACATGAACGGAGTGAAGACGCTGTGTATTTTGGGTCTGGTTCTCCTGAGCTTGGCTGCAAACCAAGTAGCCGACGGACAGGTAGTAGGAGGTGTCAGCCAGTTGGAGGGATCCGAAAGGAAAGAGGCACTCGATCTGCTGGACGGCACCCTCGCCAAGTTGGCCACCGGAGATGGTCCCAGCTACAAGTGAGTTGGGACTCAAATGCCATTCAGAACTCAGACTCACACTAATTGATGTACTGGTCTTAGGGCAATTAATGTGACCTCTGTGACGGGTCAGGTCGTAGCTGGAACACTCAACACCTACGAGGTCCAGCTGGATAATGGATCCGACAAAAAACAGTGCACGGTGAAGATCTGGACGCGGCCCTGGCTAAAGGAGAACGGCACCAACATCAAGATCAAGTGCGCTGGTGACGATGGCGAACTGGACCGCACCTGGTAAAAGTGTGTATGAAACAGTAGCACTTTTCTGGGGCCTGTGAATGGTTAAATAAAAAGCCAAGATACACGTGAATTAAAAATCTAATTTTGTATTACTTTGGGTCTTTAAAATAGCTTAGAATAATAGTGTACGTTACATCATTAAACTATTCACATTGCAAACTCCCCAATTTATTATTCGGAAAGAGAATAGGACTGTATAAATACCGCATTTGCTTTGTTTATTTTCCGTGTTTGCCAATTCCCATCGCTAGCCAATGGCACATATATATAAAAGATATATTTAAATAACAACCATGCAAGCTTTCACTCCACCGAAAGCTCCAGCAGCTGGCTCACAATCGTCGAGACTGAAGCGTCAACGTAGTGATATCATTTCACGCTTTGGGTTTGCTTCTGTTGAGTTTTGCTGCCATCGCCATGTCCGTCGGTCCAATTGTGGGCGGGATCAGTCCGCTGGAGGGGGAGAGGAGGAAGGAGGCTCTGGAACTCCTGGACGCCACCCTCGCACAGCTGGCCACCGGAGATGGTCCCAGCTACAAGTGAGTAAAGCTACACTTAAGCTAATGTGGACCACTTATTGTTTGATTTGGTTCCGATTTCAGGGCACTTAATGTGACCTCTGTGACGGGTCAGGTCGTAGCTGGAACACTCTACACCTACGAGGTCCAGCTGGATAATGGATCCGAGCAAAAGCAGGGCACCGTGAAGATCTGGACACAGCCCTGGCTGAAGGAGAACGGCACCAACATCAATATCAAGTTTCCGGGCGAGGACGGCGAACTGGACCGTACCTGGTAGAAGGATTTACCCCAGACCAGCAATTTAACTTAACAATAACTCTAGTTGAGATCACAAATGTTACTGGGCAAAAGATTTTGTTCCAATTCGCCTGTTACTGTACAATATATATTCGGTTATTTATAGAGAAAGAGGAATCATATTCTTGTAACCACAGGTATTGAACTGTATCTACTATGAGATTTACCTGTAAACGCTTTTCCGCGCTATCAGGAATTATTATTAAGTATTACCTTTGCTGTTTGGAGAGCTTTACATATGCTGACACCAGAACTTTATCTGATGGAATAGGTTATTTTGGGTTTCAACCCGCCTATAAAGCGGGTTACAAAAGTGATTCGATGTTGGTTAACCAGTTCTGTTGGCAGAACCAGTTTGTTTATATATCTCAATAGGTAAATCGTATTATCTTTGTCTTTCTGCTATTGTGTGAATTTAATTAGTCAGCGTCGACATCATCAGCGGTGTCAGTGGATGTTACAAATAATAACTCCCCCTTTGTTGCTGATACTCTTTGTTGTCATTACATCATCAAGAGAACTTTTAAAAGCAATCAACTTTTTTGTACATGATAAGGCCCATTGGTAATGCATCCGAAACAAGTATAATTCCACCCACTAAGGTCTTATCGCGCTTCTGAAACAAAGAAATGTTTTAAGAATAAAAACATTGTAGGCATTAACTGAGTAGGTCGTTGTTTGTAGTCGAGGGCTCAGCGACTGACTCAAATAAGGTTTTTACGCCGAATGATTAATCCACAAAGAGTGACCACTCCTGACCTGGGCAAACAAGTAAGAAGATATCACGAAACGGCCGGCCAGTGCAAAGGCAAAACAAAATATAAAGCAATAAACTGAAGATTATGTAAAAAAGATGCCAAACAAGAGGCTTCATTGTCGCGGGTTCAGGTTTGAGTGCACACCACTAGGCGTCTCTCCTCCTTTGGGGGCCGGTTGGTGTTGATCGCGAATAAATAAATATATATATTCTCACCGAGCACTCTGACGATATCGGTTTCCTCTATAAAAGCGGTCTTCTATGCGCCGTGTCTGCTCAGTTTGAAACAAGTGTTTCGAGGAAAATGCAGTCCGTGAAAGTGATATTTGTTCTGTCCTTGACCCTGGCAGCTGCTTTTGCTGGCGTAAGTTGGATATGATATTATTATTACTTTCTAATTGCCTGACCTTTTCAAACGAAAGCCGAGGCTGCCGCCCGGTGCCCCGAAACCCCTCGATGGAGATGACTTATCTAAGGCTAAGGAGCTCTTGAACACCACCCTCGCCAAACTTGCCACAGGAGATGGTCCCAATTACCAGTAAGTATAAGTGAATTCGTGTTGGAAAATATATATATAATATATAATATATAATATATATAATATATAATATATAATATATAATATATAATATATAATATATAATATATAATATATAATATAATATTAAATAATGAATATTATTTTTTCATAGAATTAACAACTCAAAAATTTGAGATTTTACAAAATTATTATTTGGAAGTAACTCCAATAGTAACTATTAACAAGAACTTATTGCAATTCCCACTGCTTCCAGAGTAGTGAATGTGATCTCGGCAACTAGCCAATTGGTGGCTGGGTCGCTGCACAAATTCGAGGTGGAGCTGTCCAACGGATCCGAGACCAAGGAGTGCACCGTTAAGATCTGGGACAGGCCATGGTTGCATGAGAAGGGAAAGGCCACCAATGTGAAGGTTCAGTGCAAAGATGAAGCAGTTGTTGAAAAGACCTGGTAGACCGTATTTGCAGTGGTTACCTATGCGATTCTATAAAAAGAGCAATCACTGGTGCTCGAGAATTTGAACAGAAATGGGTGTGCTTATCATATAATTGTTCTGTGATAATTAAATTCAGTGGATCGTGCAGTAACCAGTTTTCTCGTGTTTAAAATACAAATTTTCTAATGGATGGTCATGATCACGTCCGTGCGAATAACTAAATAGAAGGCAAAAACCTAACTCGAGACGACTTAAGTGATCTTTAGGCGATACTTGCGCACTTTCTTTAGCAGGGTAGGGGGTATTCAATAGTCGCGGCATTCGCGGGGTATCCATAATCGTGCTTGCAAATAACTCATTTATTTTGTAGGCACAAAAATAGAAACCATTTATTCAGCTTAGCGAACCCTATTATTTCTGTTATTCCTGTTGTTGCGGCGGTTCCTCCTGCGCTGAGCCCGGCGACGTCGTCGCTGAGCCCGATTGCGGCTCCTCCGGCGGTTGTTCCGCTTGGTATTGCCGCTGTTACTTCCGGAGGGGGTGCTGTTGGGGGATCCTGCCGAAGGACTACCGCCTGTTGAAGGAGAGGTGCTGCCGCCAGTCGATGGAGAGGTGCTTCCATCAGTGGGCGTGGTGCCTCCATCAGTGGGCGTGGTGCTTCCATCATTGCTTCCATTCGTGGTCGAAAAGCACAGGACCAAGGCTCAAAAGTAGTGTGGTCGTCCTCATAGCTTGTATTGCCTTGATTGGATAGGCTCGGATGATGATCTACGGTTGATCATCAATTGTACTGTTTACCGTCCCATTGTGAGGCTGGTCAACAGCTGGGACAACAAACCGATCGAATTGAAGTTTTTGTATAGCCAAATTTCGACAGCTGTCCCAATACCACGCGAGTTAGACAAACACTTTATATTTAATAAATTCGGTCCTTCGTTGCTATTAAGACAATAATCGACAAAATACTAGCGGCATATATGTATAATATTTATTAATTCAGACAAGATACATATACATATATCTGGGATATCGCTGCTGCTCGAAAACTGTTTGGTACACAACTAAGGAATCAGATGGTGCAGATTTCACTGTTGTATTTTAGGCGCTGTTAAATAAAGGTTGTTTAATAAGCGGCGTTTCAAAACGCATTCAGAAATAATGTTATTGTAACTTTTGGATAGCCATCGTACATCAACAGGGTATTCTCGAATAGTTGAGCAGTATGAAAGTAGTTGAAGAAATAGTACAGAAATTTCAATGAGGATCGCTAAACATTACCTATCAGATATACAGATATACAGGTTTTCTTGCCAATTTCAATTGACCAGGACCACAACCCGGACCCCGAACTGGAAAAATGGCCGAAAAGTATGGCTAAGCAAAAAAGTGTTTCTAACCAAGCTGGACAATTGTTTTGCAGTTGTTGCAAATGCATTATTATTATTAGTGACTACTTCTTTACAAAAACGTTTAATGCTTTAATAATAAAAAGCAACAATTTATTTTTTCGTCGTCCTCTCTAAAATTGTATAAAAAAATAAAAAAAATGTTGCCTAATAAATTTGGATAACGTTAAAGATTGTGTGCCGCTGTTCTTCTTAAACATGCTTTAGCTCAGTAACAGTTATCTGTTAGGCGAGAAATAGCGAGAATAGCGAATTAAATTAGCACTTGGTCTTATTTAATTCTGATAAATACATCATTAATACATCACTACAAAGTGTTGTTTATAACGGCGTACATTTGAATATATACATAAATATACATATGTATATATATATACAGGTATAAAGTTTATGCGAATTTTTAGAAAACAATTTGGGAAAATAAAGCAAAATGTATAAGAGCCAGCTGTGTAAACTTGCCAATAATCTTTGCTCACGAAAGTCGCGTAAAAATTAAACGCCTATAAAAGCCACTGCCGCCAACCATTTGCAATCCCAAATCTGACAATCCAAGATGAAGGTAACTACTATCTTATCCGTCATTACCGTCCTCGCAGCGTGCCTTTTGAGGAGCAGCGAGGCGGTGACCTGCACCGCTGACCCCACCGTCACAGGATGCATCAACTGCACCACCAGTCCAACCGATCCCGAGTGCGTGGCCGAGGCAGCCGCAGAAACCACATCCACAACTGCAGCAACGCCCACCACCACCACAACCTCAGCGACGGCGACGGCGACGACAACGGCGACGACAACGAACACAGGCTCCTCCGGCACAAACACCTCCCCTAGACGGCGGAAGATCGTGCGCGTAACCAATCTGGGCTATACCAACGTCCGGCGCATCCGCGTCTACCGGAACCGCTCAGGGAGCACCACCGTCCGGAATCGAAAGCGCAAGAACAACTCCAGACGTGTCAACGTGAGGAAGGCCAACGGAAACGTAATTATTGTCGGTTAACAAGGTGGATTTTAATAAAATGCTGAATATGGATTTATAAATTTATGAATATGGATCTGTAGAAGTATACCTAAGAATTATAAAATGTGTTATGGACGGCATGTAATGTATGTATGCTATGTACGGTATTAGTACAGCATTTATAGCTTTAAATCGTACATTTACGGTATAACCGCTCAAAAACCGCCCAAAACTTTTGAAAAAATGTTACATTTTTTAATTTTTTTATTTATTCTCGCAAATTCTAGCGATATTCCAGAAAATGAAGGAATTTCTCGTTCGCACTTCCACTAGCTGAGTAACGGGTATATGATAGTCGGGTAACTCGGCTACAGCATTCTATTGTTTGTTTTATGATGTTATTAAATATGCGTCATCTTTACCCAATGATATGTAACATATTAATGTAACTTGTAACTTTATTGAGCATAAATTAAAAACGTTAACCTTCTATAAATACTTTGTAAGAGCTGATAAATATAGGTTTCTGTTATTTTAATAAAAGGTAAGACAGTATTATTTTGTAGAGAAACTTACACATAGCTTAATGTTTAATTTTTTTTTTTAAGAAAAGGGGCAGCGTTGGTTTAATATGTACTTACCTGTTAGAAATGTAGATAATGCTCTCTTCTAACAACAAAGCCTTAGAACTCACTTTTTAAGACCATATTTTGGTGAATTCTCGTCAAACAGCAGGGACAATGGCAAACATTTTGAAACAGTTGTGCCAATAATTATATTTTATTGAACTGCTATAAAGCCCATAACAACACCTTAAATTAACTAAATCCATACCGACGTTGCATAATGAGAGTATCTTCGATCTTATACTCTGGAATCGCCGTCCTTGCAGCTTGTCTCCTGGGGATCAGCTCAGCGATCACCTGCACCGCCGACCCCACCGTCGTGGGATGCATCGAGTGCTCCACGGCCCCCAACGACGTGGAAAGTTTAGCCGGGGCATCCAGCTCCAACGTCGATTGCTACGCGGATCCCTTCAGCTCAGAATGCTCAGCGGATCCCCCCTCGCAAATGGCGGTCAGTGGACGTTTCCCCGGGAAAAGGTAAAAAAAGTGATGTTCATTTTCAAATAGATTGCAGATTTGATGTTTAAATAAATAGCTATGCTATTTCAAAAGATCCCTACAGTACTTGTTCCAAAAAAAAAAAATCATATATATATTATCCAGGTACGGAGTGCTTGGCCGACTTTCTAATGTTTTTGAGTAGCGATGAATTGTGGAACTGCAGGGTATCTTTCGAGTATGTGGCAAGACTTATAGCATACCTTTTTGGATGACGTTTTGTGATACGGCTTGGATTACCTATGTACATAAGGCGATATATATTATATCTACTTGTGTACCAAGTGAAGCAAGCGGGAAACCTCATTTTTACTTGTTTTTACATATTAATGAAATCGAACTGTTCGTATGGATTTCTCAGCTTTAAAATAAAGCCAAAACTTTTGATTTGATTTTAAAATTATATTTATTTGCCAAACAGTTTTTCCAATTGTATACATTTTAACCTTTTTTAACCAACCACCACGCGAACGTTTCCGCGCTTGTTCTTGGAGTTGTTCTTGCGCTGGCGGTTGCGGTTGCGGTTCGTGTTGGTGTTGGTGGAGCGCTTGCCAGTGCGGCCAGCGCGCCCAGTGCGCCCAGTGCGCCCAGTGCGCCCTGTGCGTCCGGTTCGCCCAGTGCGGCCACTGCGGCCGGAGCGACCGCTGGAGCTGGATGTGGCGGGGTTGATCCGAATGCGACGATTGATGGAGTAGCGCAGGTTGCTCAAGCGGACGGTCTTACGGCTTCCGGTTCCAGTTCCACTTCCAGATCCGGACCCAGACCCGCTTCCGGATGCAGATCCAGATCCAGATCCGCCGGCTGATGATGGCGCTGTGGTGCTGTTCGCAACGGTGGGCGTGTCTGGAGCCGCTGTGGATGAGCTGGAGGTCTGGGCTGCCTCGGCCACGCACTCGGGATCGGTTGGACTGGTGGTGCAGTTGATGCATCCTGTGACGGTGGGGTCAGCGGTGCAGGTCACCGCCTCGCTGCTCCTCAAGAGGCACGCTGCCAGGACGAGGATGGCGGAGATGATAGTTGCTGCTCTCATTGTGCGTTCGCTAATTGGGGATTGTTGATTGATGGTGATGTAGGATTTTGCTAAGGCTTTTATAGTCGCTTGATCGAGGTCAAGGGGCGCTCTTCCTATCAAGCGATTTTCGCCCATATGTACGCAGCTGTTTTAATCAATTATCTTAAGTATTAGACATTGTATGCTGCCAAATCGCTAACTATCGCCTGTGAATGTAAATGGCCAAAATGAACTAGTTTCACGTATTTACTTAAGTCAAACGCTAATATTGTTAATTTACTAATCTGAAAGATGCTTAGTGTGCCTTCGATTTGAATTCACATTCAATCATATTGATGTTATTGGAAAAATATAGCATCTTCGTTGATAAATGCCTTCGATTCCATTTGTTATTCACAGTGTACCCACACGATGATCAATGCCATCTGTCGATAGCTTTTTGCTTTTGGGTTGAAGGTTTTAAAATTCCTTTAGAATGGAAATAGTTTTGAAACTTTGTTGGCCATAGTTTTTCTCTAAAATTCCTTTCCTGCCAAATCGCTAACTATCGCCTGTGAATGTAAATGGCCAAAATGAACTAGTTTCACGTATTTACTTAAGTCAAACGCTAATATTGTTAATTTACTAATCTGAAAGATGCTTAGTGTGCCTTCGATTTGAATTCACATTCAATGTTATTGGAAAAAGATAGCATCTTCGTTGATAAATGCCTTCGATTCCATTTGTTATTCACAGTGTACCCCCACGATGATCAATGCCATCTGTCGATAGCTTTTTGCTTTTGGGTTGAAGGTTTTAAAATTCCTTTAGAATGGAAATAGTTTTGAAACTATTCCTATACTATTCTCTATACTACCAAAGCAAAACAAAAAATGTTATCAACAAAAAGTGGCAAAATCGTTACCTTAACAATCGCCATATTCTGGTAGGATGAACATTAATTCCACACTCTCACTTATAATGCTAAAGCTGTTGTAAAAATACCAATTATTTAAATAGGAATAAACTATTAGTTTGTTTGTGGAAAAATATGTTAAAGTACTTCCAAAAAGCGTACGCTTAATTATTTGTTTAAACTATTTTTGTTGTAAGATGCTGGTTACATGTTTTATTTAGTACTTTTGTAATTCAATCAAATCGTTTGAGCATAAATCAAAACACGATTATCGTGAGCGATAGCGATGTTGGCTTTAACCCACTCGGTTTTGCCTCCTGCGCCTTTGGGCCCTCCTCCTTTGTGCACTCCTCCTCGAGGCAGCGCGCCTCCTTTGAGCGCGCCTCCTGGCTGCCATCCTCCTTCTCCTTCTGGCCGCAGTAGCCGGGCGGTTAGAGTTATTTCCGGAAGTGGGCGAAGGGGCGCTGGGCGACGAAGTGTCTGCGGTGTTCGGCGAAGACGGCGGGGTGGATCCGGCGGTGGTGTCCGTTGGGGGTGATGCAGGGGGTGATGCAGGGGGTGATGCAGGGGGTGATGCAGGGGGTGATGCAGGGGGTGATGCAGGGGGTGATGCAGGGGGTGATGCAGGGGGTGGTGCAGGGGGTGATGCAGGGGGCGAATTGTTGGCCTCGGCCACGCACTCGGGATCGGTTGGACTGGTGGTGCAGTCGATGCATCCCGTTACAGTGGGATCGGCGGTGCAGGTTACCGCCTCGCTGCTCCTCAAGAGGCAAGCGGCCAGAACAAGGACTCCTGATAAGATGATCGATGTTGCCTTCATTTCGAGATTTGTAGTTTCTTCGCATGGTAGCCCGGGCTTATATAGCGCTTTGATGATTCCTTGTGGCGTTTGAAACAAAGAATGTAGGCAAATTTACCCAACTGGGCTATCAAATTATTGTTCCTCTATATCCATTGTTATAATTGTTCAATACGTTTACCTTATTCAAATGACTGCAAAATTTATCCAGCTGTTTCTTCCGAATTTCGGCTTATTATTCCGAGTTCTTGACACAGAACAGTTTACCCTGATCGACGTAGTTTTTAGAGATATATCAATTATTTTGGATTGTGAAGCAGCGGGTGACATGATGGAAGTTGAAATAATAGTTGAAATAAGCAAGCATTGTAAGAATAGGACTCGATGTTTTGGTTTTGTTTGGGCGCACTAATCCCTGTTTCAGATTCATGGACTTTTAGGCATAAATCCAGATGTTTGCTCTTCCCAGCTTCCCATTTGCCAGCCACAAAAAAGATGCAGTTTATTATTGTTTCCTACCAGGCCGAAAGTGAATAGCAGTATTCCGCACTTTAAGCTCGCGTTGAGTGAATTTCTTTGATTTAGCTCATTTGCAACCTGTAAGTAACAACATTTAATTTGAGTACATAATATGTTTAATATTTAGATTCGCGTGTAATATTTACCTGCTTTCATGACTCCCCAACTGGTTGCTAATGTATGGCTTTTGTTTTATTTGATAATTATCATGACGTCACATCTTACATCGAAGCGAAGCGAGAACAATGAGCGAGAATATTTTAAATTCATATTTCGCAATTATATGGCGATGCGCTGACCAGCTCTGATTTTTCAGTTAGTTTTGCTTTTAACTGATCAGCGCACGGTTGAGCCATGGATTTATTTAGCTGTTTGCTGCTGTGCCTGGGAATTATTTCCCTACCCAATGTAGTGGTTTGTACCTAGTATAAACTGTTTAGGGGCTTATTATATCATCGTCAATTTACAGTTCACGATATGCGTTCCACCCAATCACTGCATTGAAGATGTGAGTATGATACTTGTTTGGTGAAAAAAACTTTTTTACTTTCTAAAATAGTCTTGCTGCCACAAATTATAGTTCCTAGTGTTCCTGCTTAAACACAGTTTATTTTCTGTCCCACAGATGGAGGAAAGCGATGCGAAAGAGCGATTCGACTATGTACTTGGCAAATATGAGGAGGTGGAAATGAAAATTCCCGGAAAACCCGTTGGGTGAGATGAACTTTAGAGTGTGCTTGGTGTTCCACTAATTGACTTTTCATTTCCACCGCCGACAGTTTGCATGGGAAAGTGGTTACGCATGGCGAGGCGGAGGAGCAGCACTTGGTGTTCCAGTACATGGACAATACGCTGCATGACATCATCCAGACGTGTGCGTTTGTGGTCAAGCGGAATCCCGGTGAGTGCGAGAACATCCGCACCTACTGCTCGGCCTTTCTGGGCCGCCTGCCACGCCCCCTCCTGGAGCGACAGCCCATCAACGTGTGTGACGATGGGACGCGGGTGGCGGAGGACGAGCCGGATACGGAAGCGGAAGACAACCCGGACGCCGATGCTCAGGGGGAGGCTGATCCGCAGCAGGAGCAGGGAGGCGCAGGAGTCGGTCAATCGGAGACCACAACAGCGGAGCCGGGCAGCTCCAAATTAAGTGAATTTTACTGAGTGGGTGCAATGTCAGCCAGCGGTTTTTTCACTCATCTCCACTTGACATTTGGCAGTCCATTTTACAAAGATTTCTAAAATAAATGAGATTAATTTTCTTTGATTTTCAATTATACGTTTTCAATTCTCTCAGTCCTATCATTTTAAGAAAATTACACTTTTTTGATAACTATGTAGATGAGTATTTAAAAATTTATTTATTCACATACACAGCTATGGCAATTGGTACGTTACGTAATACGACTTCTTGGTTACGTGTAGTTGGTGGTTAGGTCCTTCAAATAGTTTTGGTGGAAATTTATATTTATTTATGGTAATTATGGGTAATTATGGCCAATGTTGGTTCTGTCTAATGACATCAGTTAAGCAAATGAATGAATCTTTAAAAAGAAAATAAAATTAAAAAAAAAAATTGAAGCATCTTATATTTCATTTTGAAATATCTTCTGTTATTTATCGTCGGAAAAATGGCAGCGAAGTAAATTCTTTTTAATACATATTAATAGCGTAAGCCTAGCCAATAAAATGTATAAAAACAGCGCCTAAAATTAGGCTTACTTCAACCGTCTACTAACATTTCTCCTTGGCCATTCAATGTCACGGCTTCCCCAGATTGAGTTAGGAAGCTCTAACAGCAACAACTATGCGGCTTTTAGTTCAACAACTGACGGCCAAAAGACTAGACCAGGCCAAGTCCGGCGCCTGCGCCGATCCCACGCCGCACAGTGGCCGTAATACGACAAAAACACAAGAGCCAAGTTGTCCAATTAAGCAGAGAAATTATTTCCTTCCCTTTACAGCTTAGCTCAAATAATAAATAAACACACATTATCATTTAAATGATTATAAATAAACATTTATTTCGGCTTAATACTGAGATATTATGTAAGTAATTACTCCCAAAAATTATAATATATTTGGTTAGTTAGAGTGTCATTCAGAGTGTCACTCTTTTTCTAGCTTAGGCGTGATTTTTTGATTGGTGATCAAAATGCAGAGAAAGCTCCAACAAAAGCAAACGTAATTGACTTCTTATATTTAGGAAACTATATATGTTACAAGTACTTAATACAAAATACTGTACTATAGACAACAAAAGTCTTCATTTAATCTTAACTGTAAGAAAACTTCAGCTTAGTTTGGAAATTCGAGCCACTGTACTCAAGTGTGAGAGAGAAAACTCTCTTCCCGACACAAAAAAGAGAGCGAGAGGCTTGCGCCAAATAACAGTAAACAAAGCCCAGCTGCTGCTGCTGGCGGTATGAATTCGGTTTTCAGTTGTTAACGGGGCGCCAAGGCGAACTGGAGCAGCGAAATTGGAGCGCCTGAGCAGGAACAAAAGCTCCAAAACGCTGCACACCCACCCACAAAGTCGGTGAAGAATAGAGAAAGAGATAGAGAGAAAGAGACGTAGCAGGCCAGGCGGTGAGAGCACCTTAGAGAGTTAGAGAGAGATTCTCCCCGAGACAGATTGTTATTTGTGTTTGGCGACAGTGGCGGTCCGGTCCCGTGCCGCACAGAATTATCTGCTCAGTGCTAAAGTTGTACTCGTGCTGCGTAGCTCGTGCGGGCAAGGCCGTTTCTCGACACGCCCGCCCACCCACCGCCCCGCGCGCCACCCTGCCACGCCCCCAGCAGCTGGGAGCAGCAGCTGCTTTTCAGTAGTGAAGTGCGTGCGCGTTTCGCGGCAAACGGAATTGCCGCCGGTTGTAAAACAGTCACAGGATAAAATCTAATCGAATCGAATCGAATCGAAACGCTGCGAAGCGAAATCAGTTTGCCAACTCAGCCCGCTTTTTGCATAATCCAAAACGTAATTCGAAGGGCGAAACTAAAAATGTATAGCGGCGCGTAAATATACTGTTAACTATTTACATTGCCGTGCAATTTCCAGTCCAAATCGCAGCCCACCCCCTTTTATCAACGAAGCGCCAGTCAAGCCGCCGTCTTATCAGCAAACGAAGCGCGACAAAGAAAAGAAAAGAAAAAACAAAAATAGAAAAACAGAAAAACAGAAAAACGTACTAAAAAGTAAGAAACAGCACAAAGTATATGGAAAACCAAAGTGAAAAGAAAATGCATTTGAGTGCGTGAGAGTGTGTGTGCTTAGGTGAGTATTAGCCGTACGATTGTGTGTGTTCGAGGGCCCCCGGCTCAGCTGAGTGCTGAGTAAACACACAAAAAGCAACCGAAGCCAAACACAGACCCCAGCACAAATACCACCGCGAATACCACCGCCACCAGCTAAATATATGGCCGCCCTCACCCACACACTCGCACGCAATTATTAGCGTTCCCCAAATCCCCCAGAAATGTGCGAATTATGAAATATTTTACCCTTGAATGTCATACATACGTATTAGAATAAGCGGCGGGGCGCCCGGCGAGCGTTACTTTTTAGCAAGTTTTGAATACCCCCATGCGGTGGATACGAGGGTACGAGGGCATGCCCGATTTCAGAAGCTCTACAGCTAATCCAAATTGAAGCGAAGATACGAACTCTTGCTGAAAATGGCAAAAACGTTTCACTATTATAAATTCTACAAAGTTTTTCTCAATTTATTTAGCGATTCGAAAACAAGATCACATAAACTCACATTCACTCGTCATTTGCCAACCCAGGGGCACTGAAATAATCTTTGGCGCAAATGGCTTTTGAGACCATATCCGTACTAAAGAATTAATGATTTTGCCTACATATTGGACATTTACTATGTCGTTATTTACAATGAGATTCTGTAGAAAACAATTAAGACGATTTGAATTTAGCACATTGTATAGCCATTTGCCTGAGGTATGTTCTGCATTGCTAAGCAGAATGTAACAAATATTATTGCAAATTTTATATTTAGATAATCGTCTTAGGGGTATAGAGTTCTTTAGATAAAACTTCAATGTGTAGGGTAATGTGATTGCCAATGTATGTTTAGAAGAAGCGTTTTTGTGCCACTTTCTGATATGCTCCAAGCGGATATCCCAAAGTCGGGACACTTCAAAATATTACCTCGAGTTTTTCTTGGGGCGTGCCATGGGGAATCAGAGAAGTAGCAGCGACTCAGCATGGCCCCAAAAACTTTCCTGTGACGTGCGATGTCTAACGCAAATTATTCGAGTGCTGCTCCAACGCATTTCGCCACTTTTCGTAGCGCGCAATTTTCTTCTCGGCCGCCCTTTTGGAGACCCGCCAAAGTGTCTGTGAAATCCATTAAGTTTTGTTTTCGTTTTTTATGAACAACATTGACTTTGTCAACGGTTCGTTCGCCAACATCCCCTGGACCAGCACGCACTTTTCCGAAGAACAACTGTCTGAGCAAGTCTTTTATTTTATTTTAATGCCCTCTCCTTCTTGGCCACTCCTCGGCAGCTTCGCTATAGTGGATTTTTTACAAAAATGTTGTCAAAATTTATTGACTCACTTTCGTCCTTGTATTATCCGGCTTTATCCGTCTGCTGCTGTCTCTTTGTTGTCACACCAGCGAGCGTGACAAGTTATTTCGAAGTGAACAGCAGCTTTAAGGGCCATAAACTGGGCTTTTCACAACTTTCAAGAACTGCAATTAGGTTAATTATTGGTCTGGCATGTCTATACGAGTATGTGAGTATTATCTTCTTGAGGCACATTATTAAGAAACTATTTGTAAAGTACAAATGTATTTTGCGTAAATACTTCATTTTGAAATTATAGCTGAGAGAGTTATTGTACAAATGTAAGCCAAATAACTCGAGCTGAGGGATAAACCTAATGTTTTGGCTCCATTAACTCAGCAATTGTTTTTCGGTTACCTCTAATGAAGATCTGTATTAGCTAAGTGCTCGCGGAGGATAAAAAGTAAGTGGAAGAGCCGGCTAAAAGGTTCCAAGGGCCGCTCCGCACCTGTCTTTAGTGTCCTGCTCTGAATCTCGTGGGATTCCCTCTGTTATCCTGTTTGTTTTTCTTTTCTTGTGAAATACGCATAAGGTTAGGGCCGCGCGGATTTATAGTATATGTACGAGTAGTCCCGATTTTCGTGGGGACCGCTTATAAATAGTCCCCGTTCTCGGCGATTACCCTTCGCATGCAATTTTCCCCGGCACTTGTTTGCCCTTCTCGTTCTCCTTTGCTTCTTTAGGACCGGGCACGTGCCTTTTACTTTGCGGGAAAAATGGAGAATTTTCGACGGAAGCCCCATGGCCCAAAACTCGCAACTCGCTCTCGGCCATGTTTATGGCGTCTGCCGTTGACTGACGTTCATTGGCTTTTGTGCGGATATTTGCTTTTGTTATTATTCCGCCATTCTCGGGCGTCCGTGTCCTTCGTCCTTCATCATTGGCCATAAAACGGTGTCTCCGAGCACATTTCGCTGGTCGCGTCGGCATCTGCGGCTGTTTTCCAGCCTTGTCTCGGTATTCAGGACTCCATCCTTCCTCCGTTTGTACGAGTTTATTTTGTTCCCGAAATTCTCTGGCATCCTTTGCCATTCATCCCACTGTTTGTTATCGCAACGGGACCCTCTCATCCTTCGTAACCCATCCGTCAGAGCTCCTCCTGTCCTTTCTTTTCCGACTTCATTTAATCAGCAATTCATTTATTTAAACGCCTTCGAGAAAATAATTTTTGTTTATTGATTGAAACAGAGAGGGACGGTTTTTAATGGAGGGCCAAAAAAGGAAGGGCGAAGGACACGCCATTTGAACTGAGACAGTCACTAATTCGATTTGTTGCTTTCAAATTTAGAACACAATTAGTTATAAATCCAAGTCTACTTAATTACATTTGGCGTCCATTTTGGACAATTTATGCTTTTCCCAATTAAGCTGACTCTGGTATTTGTTAAAATATACCCTATACTTATAAGCTTATTTGCAATAGTTCATTTATCACATGGGAAACTGTTGGTCATAAATAATACTTAATAGACATTTTACAGGAAATCGCCTTGGTTAAGTTAAAGAATCTTTTTGGTAACCAAATTATTATGCCTTAAAGATGGTAATCATAGATATTTCCAACTTGGATGTAAATCAAACCTGAAAACTTTAAGGGTGTTCTAAAAATTAGCTTGAAACTAATTAACTTTTTGCAATATCTTTTCTGTAAGAAACCCGATAAACTATTACAAAGCAGAAATTG